ATTTTGTATAGTTATATCAAATGAAACAAATTAAAATGACATTGAAATAACACATAATACAATTTATGAAAAAAAGTCTTTTATCATGCTTCTAATAATCAATCATATTCAATTGCATTCATAGATTCTCTATCAATATATTTTGATACAATACAAAATTATGTTGAATTAACATGTCAATTTTCAACAGGTGATATACATGATTTATTACGTTTTATAATATTTATATCAGAAATAATTTATATAAATATATTTAAAAAAAAAGCATCATTTCTTAGTTGTGAAACAGATCAAATAATATCATGTTGTACGTTACCGAAAACACTTTTATCAATATTTGAATATATTTATCAACGACATGGTTTAACTATATCAAATATATTATAATCATATTTAAATTTAATTGAACCAGATAAAAGATCATCTTTATTATTTAACAAAAAAAAATTAAATATACACGTATATATCATATATTTATTGACATGATTTATATTGTATAGCTATATTATTATTTTGTTTACCAATATTTATATAAAGACAATTTTGGAGTTGGTTGATTATTAAGAATACAATTTTAAGAAATATAGGCTTCATTTTTAGCTTCGATTAATTCATCACAAATCAATCTAATGATGAAAATAAACAAACAACAAATAATTTATAAAAAAAAAAGAAGAAACTTTAGAAACAAATGCAACACAATGGTAACAAGATTGAAAAATAAACTCGATTTTATCTGTTTTATTTTTATCAATATTAGATACAAGTTCAAATACTTTATTTACAAATATTGAACGGTTAGGTACACGTGATTTATTATCCTATGGACAACTTTCATATGATACTATATTAACATCAATTCAAAGTAATAATACATTACCATTATCAGTTAATGTAAGTCTCACATATGTTTTAATAATCGACAAATAGAACTCTAAATTAAAAGAAAGATAAATTCATTGCTAAATTATTCATTTCATCAAACAGAAAATCTAGTGTTTCTCTGACTTTGATTTGATATATAATACATGCAAACTATCGTATTTCATAGAGATAAAAGCTTATATCAATAATTTCAAATATATTCTATCAATCAGAAAATTCGATTATGAACATTTTCTTTTCTGGCATCCATCTTTAAAAATATATAATTTAGAGTTTATTTGATCACTTATTTTTTCATCATGGTTTTGATTTAACATTATCATTATAAATTCTAATTGAAATATATGTAATATAAATTAATAGGTTCAATTATATATCTATCTGATTTATTTGTAAATGGTTTGATGAAGATGATTTAATAATATCCTTAATAAGTAATAATTTATGTAAATCTAGTATATTACTTGAACACACAACAAAAGAA